TTTTACAAGTAAAATTGCCAGTAAAACTGGCAAATGGGCTCTAGACTAAATTTACATATATGGCTAAGAGGAAATAGAAAACATTTTTCGTTTGGAGACAGAAGCATGTTCTAGAAGACAACAATGAAATGATTTAACAATCTATCTTTCCAACCTAATGGACAAGATCCATAAAGGGAGACTGGCTTGAAACGAAAACAAACTTAAGTAGTAATGTATGTACCCTAGGAAGGGAAAGTAGAAAAAAAAATTTCAAGAAAAAAATGGGAGAAAATAAAGGTAAAGCAATTCAGATGGTAGAAAAAAAGGCAACAGGAAAGAAAGCTAGATATCAACAAGTACAGTACAAAAAGATCTAACATGAGAAAAAATAAGACTTGTTGGAGCTCCCATAGAGGAGAAAAGTGGGAAAATATTAAAAAAAAATTATTAGAACAAGCTATGGGCTGGGGATGTGGCTCAAGCGGTAGCGCGCTCGCCTGGCTTGCGTGCGGCCCGGGTTCGATCCTCAGCACCACATACAAAACGAAGATGTTGTATCCACCGATAACTAAAAAATAAATATTAAAATTTAAAAAAAAAAAAAAAAAAAAAAGAACAAGCTAGCTATCATCATCTTTGCCCTACACTTGAAGCATCTCCTAACTGGTTTCCCTGATAATCTGTTGACCCTCTAAGGCTATCTTCAGGTGACCTTTTTTGCAGCAATTCTGATGATGTCCCTTTAGCTTCATATTGCACCATTCTTCTTGCTAGGACCACATTGTCCTTTCTTAGTTCCCCTAATATGCCACACTCCTATTTTATTCCCTCTGCCTGGAAAGCTCTTATCTCCCTACTTCCCCTTCTCCTATTCATCTTTCAAACCACCCTGATTAGGTCAAATCCTATTTTAAACAACTATCATTAATTCTTAAAACATGATGGTTTGGGGCTGGGGTTGTGGCTCAGTGGTAGAGCACTCGCCTAGCATGTGTGAGGCCCTGGGTTCCATCCTCAGCACCACATAAAAATAAATAAAATAAAGATATTGTGTCCAGCTAAAAAAAAATATATATATATATATATATAAAATATATATAAAATTTTGATGGTTTTAATTTTACAAGTGATTGTTTGATTATTGACTTTCCTCACCATACTGGAAATTCTATGGAGAACCCTTTCTTCCCCCTCACCATGTGCCTCACAGTGCAGTGCCTGTAACATAACAGGTGCTAAACAAATATCTATTGAATGAATAATGAGAAAAATGGTAAAACCATCTATCATAAGTGGGAAAAAGCTATGAGACAACAGTAAGTAAACAGATGCAAAAGAAAAGAGTCCAAAAGAGAAAAGCTAATTAGATAAATAAATTCAACAACCCATAGCCCAATAAAATTCATACAATTTTAGTGTGATAATATATAAACAAAACAAAGAATGTACAAGAGTAGGCAGTAAGTCTCCTTTTCCCTAAAAAAAAGTCATAAAAGGAAAAAAAATTCCACTTAGTAGTTATAAGGAAGCAAAATATATTTTGGAGCAAAGGTCATATAGCTCCTCAAACTTTGAATGATCAAGCAATGCTAACTCCTCTTTGCACTCACTAAAGTAAATGGCATTATCTCCCAACACCTCAAGCCAAAACCTTACTGATTTCTCCTTTACTCTGCACCTCAATATACAATCCATTCTGTCTTACAAACTCTACATTCAAATGTATTTTCAATTTTTCCCCCAATCTCCACTGCTACCATGGCAATACTTCAAGCTAGCACCACTTCTAGACTGCTACAACGTTCTAACTTATCTCCCTACTGCTACTCTTGCTCTTCTCTTATTCCACATAGAGAAGTCAGTGATTTTTAAAAAACATAAATATCATGGTACTCCCACTGCCCCAAATTCTAAAAATGACTTCCCAATGCCTAGAAAGAAAGAAAAACTCACTAGCCTGCACGGTAGATCTCTTGCCTCTTACATCACTCTCTCCTTGGTTTGCTACATTTCAGTCATAATCAGTTCCATTTTATTTAATGAATAGAACTATATATCATCCTTGAGCCTTTACACCTATCATCCCCTTGGAAGTGTTTCATAGTCAAGATGGTCAGCATCACCTCTTCAATGATGCCTCTCCTTTACTTGAACACTGTAAAACAGCTTATAGACCACTACTTTGTACCTTTTCCCACAGCCTTTATAACAGTTATAATCTGGTTTATTTCAAACACATTCCAGGTAGTGCCAGAAATATGACATTAAAGAGATAAATATGGTAGTATAGAGCTTATATTTTAGTAGTATAGAAAAATGGGAAGAAATAAATTTATCATGCAATAAGGGCTGACATGAAAAGTAAAACAGTAAAAGTAATGCCACATTTGTACATGTGCGCATGAGCACATGTAGCACTATGACACTTTTAGATTGTAAGGTCTGAGCAGACCTGACTAAAGTGAAAAAGTGAACTATGTGAAAAAAGACTGCTCTAAATGGATTATTTTTTACTTGTTTACTGACAGTTTTTCCCACTAAAATTAAAGTTCTATGAAGGCAGGGACCTTGACTATCTTATGCACTGTTGTATTCAACTTGATACAGTGCCTAGCAGAGTAGGCTACTATAAATATTTGATGAGTGAATGAAAACCTACTTCAGTTTTGAAGAGCTCTGTTGGAAAGAACACCAAGTGTAATGTGTAGATGTTTTAATGTTAAAATCTAAAAACTTGTGGGAAAACATTTAGAAATCTTTAAACACCGTACTACAAATTATATGCAAATTACAGTAAAGTATTTCATTATTAAAAGTGTGACTGGCATGCGCACAGTGCTGGGTTCGATCCTCAGCACCACATACAAATAAAGATGTTGTGTCCACCGAAAACTAAAACAATAAATATTAAACAGATAGTGGAAACTCGTAAAAGTTCTGCTTCTTTGGGGCTGGGGATATGGCTCAAGCGGTAGCGCGCTCGCCTGGCATGCGTGCGGCCCGGGTTCCATCCTCAGCACCACATACAAACAAAGATGTTGTATCCGCTGAAAACTAAAAAAATAAATATTAAAAAAATAAATAAATAAATAACAAAAAATAAAAGTGTGAGAAACCAAAAAAATCATGGAAAATTAGTACTACTACTAGTATTAGAAGTAGGAGTAAATAGTATTTGTTTATTTAGAAAATGCTGAATGAGATAAGGTGAAACTCTAATTTATCTCACCTGTATATTAATAGACCTTAATTAGAATAAACTAAAAGCAATAGTTTCAAATTCCCATCAGCTCTGTTACATGTTACCTTTGTATTACTTTTATCCTCCTCATGTTCATCCAATCAGAACTAAAGTGAACCAGAAGCCTGTAGAAGCCAGAAACTTACTTTGACACAAAAGTATAATCTGCATACTGAATTAATACCTAAGTCATCTTTTCAATTTCCTACTTCAAAACAAAACAAAAAATAACACACGTCATTGACCTGTTAACACAAAAACCACTCTCATTCTCTTGACAGGTACATATACTGCCCAAACTAGGATGGATAATAGGAAATGAACTCATAAAAATTCACAAGCATTATCTTCTTCTTTTTTTAAGTTGTAGATGGACAGAATGCCTTTTTTTATTTATCTTTATGTGGTGCTGAGGATGGAACCCAGGGCCTCACACATGCTAGGTGAGCACTCTACCACTGAGCCACAACCCCAGCCCCCCACCCCCCACCGCATTATCTTCTTACTAGGAATTTCTAAGGCTGACCTGCACATCAAAGGTTAAGACTTTTTCACTTCTATATGCAAGTAGGAAGAATTAAGCAAATTTCTTTTCTCCACCTCTATTAGCCTTTACTCATTCCTTAGACTAATATTGAGTACTAAGTGTTCCCATAACTGTATGCTGTTAAAGCAGTATACAAGTCACATTCATCCCAACACCTCCTGCTACCACTAAGGATCTTGCTTAATTTTAAATTAAATTGTACTTCTAAAATTCAATAATGCTTCTAGTTATTTTAAAAAGTTATCACTTCTACATATTCCATTTTTAAAAGTAAAAAAATTATACACAGTAATTATTTTTTTAAAATTACATACAGTACAGACTCATTTCCCTAAATATATTTACAAATTCGATTACCAGTGTAAACACTGAACCCTTAGTCAAATAAGTAATTTAAACATTTAAGTTCTTGGTCCACAACTATAACGAAATTCAGTCGTATTTTGAGGGTCCTTATATACACGGGCAATAAGCCAATGGTTACCCACTAACACCATCCCCAACGAAAACAGCTTTTCTTAAGACTAGTAGAGTCACTAACAGTAAATGTTTAACTTCTCCTCACAAGTGAATCAAAATGGAAACACCTAAACTTCGTCTATTAGCTTAAGTGACTGTTTCAAAACCGACACTGTGAACCTCAATCTCTTTCTCCAAATAAATTATTTTAGAAAATATGTTTAGCAAACACACACACACACACACACACACACACACACATTTCCTAAGACTACAGGACACAGCCAGGCCTAATCTGAACGCCGGTTGCAAAAGGAAGCCCGAAGCTCTCTGGAACAGACGGATGGGTATTTAAGACCAAAATACCTCTCCCCTCCCCTCCCCTCGCGCGGCCCCCAATTCCACACAACCTTAGCAATTCGAAACTTTCCACGAACGCCATCAAGACCCTAGTGCAGTCTGCTCTTATCTTAGGCAACCGTCAGAAGAAAAAAAAAATTAAATGTCAAAGACTTCTGTGCGAACTCTCGGAAAGACGCCCACAAACTCGGGCTCGCAGCCTGATCCACCCGCGCCGCCTCGAACTGGGGCGGCCAAGCCCCGCGCCCCGGCAGTCTCGAACCCCGCGCCTCCGCGGCACATTCCCTCTCCGCCCTGGCCCACCCCTCGCACTCCGCCGCCCCCACACCCACCTAGCGCAGATAACTGATTATCCGGAGTCCCGGGGGCCACGTTCCCCTACCCTCCCCGCAAAGGCCGAAACAGACGTACCTTCCAAAAAAGTAATCTCCCCAGCGCTGCCGCCGCTCTTGCCGGCCGCCATCTTCCTCCTCCCACGCCGCCTCCTTCTTAATCCATGGCCCACACAGCCGCCGTGCTCGCCGGGATGAGGGGCCGCGCCGTAGGAGGGTAGCCGCCGCAGGGTTGCGGGCTTCGGGCTCAGCCGGCAGGCAGGCGGCGCTCCCACCTCCAAACGGGCCTACACAAAAGCAGGCCAGGCGCGCCCGGGCCTATCCGCAGGCTGACGGGCGATAGCGAGGCCCGCGGCCTGGGCTTTTCCTCAGGCTCCTCCGGGGGAACGTGAGCGGCGACGACGGCGACGGCGCTTCCCGGGCCTAGTTCCTCTCGGCTCACGACTCCCCATCCACCGCCCACCCAGGCCGCCAGGGACGCTTCGCTCAGCCGCGCGCCCCCAGGAAGGGAGAAGGAAGGCGAGCACTCAAACACGCCTCCCTCCGTCCCAGGCCGTAAAATGGCCGCACCCGCCGCGCCGGGGCGGCTAGGTCTCCGCGACCGTCAGGCGCCTCCGGATCACTCGCTTCTTGTGCAGCCGCCGCCGCTAAGGCCGTCCGCCCACCCCGCCCAGCCGTGAATGCATCAGCGGAGGCCCTCACGACTGTCCATGTGGACAGGGGTGGGTCTCCTCTGCCACTGCCTCGCGTCGGTCGCCACAGCAGCTCTACCGCCGCCGCTCCTCCCCCACGGGCTCTGGAGCTGCTGCCAGGCTCCCGCCCCCGCCCCGCTGCCGCCCCCAGTGCGGCTCCCCCTCCGGGCCCAGGCTCGGCTCGCGGGCAGAGCCGGCTGCGGCGCCGACCAGATCCCGACCCTGGGCGCCACTGCCCAGGCTCCCTGTAGGGCCGGCCTTTGGGGCACCGGCTCGGCCTGCACAGGTTACGTCCAAAATCCCCACTGCCAAAGGCCTCATCGCAGAGTGGCGTGTGCACGCGGCCGGGTGGGGGGCGCAGGTGGTCCTGGGCCACCACAAATGCGAGGAAATGTTGCGAGTTCGTGTCAGTGAGGAGGCTCTAAAATTTGCCAGCTGAAGAAAAATGATGGTAGATGTCCAGAAAAGGTTCACATTCATTTTTAAATAAGTTTTATTTATCAGACAACATTTAATCACTACACTTTGGATGGAAGTGTTGAAAAACAAGACCTTTGTCACTTAGGTGTCTGAGACTTCAGAGACCATACACTACCCTACAAATCAGGCCTTATAACTACAGATGTCTGGATCTTTTTGATACCGTCAACCATTGTGTTGATGATTCTTTTTTTTCTTTCGTTTTTTAATGTTATAAAAATGCTGTATTTTCACTAGTGAAAATATGGAAGAGACAGAAAAAACTAAGTTACCCCACAGTCTACTGAAACTCGCCTACTTTTGGTATGTAGTACTCTAATCAGCATTTTTCTTAAATCCTTCAGTAGCCACCTCCAAAAAAAAAACAACCTGTGGGACTGGACAGGGTGGCGCATTCCTCAAATTCCAGCAACTAGGGAAGCTGAGGCAGGGAGATGGCAAGTTGGAGCCCAGCCTCTGCAATTTAGCAAGAGCCAGTCTCAAAAGATAAAAAGGGCTGGGGGTGGAGCCCAGTGGCACAGCACTTGCTTAGCATATTGGAGTTCCTGGGCTCAATTCCTAGTACCACAAAACAAAAATAAAGAAAAATCTATTTTATATTTTAATAAAAATTCAACAGCAATTAAAATGATTCTGAAGAACTGAATACAATACTTTGAAATGAACAGTTCTAATTGTCCTGTTAACCATGGTTTAAGCACGCAACCTTTTTGTTTAATACTTTTTAAAATGCATTTTCCTATAATTAAGTGGTAATATTTACTGATTTAGTAAGATTAGTGCAATGAGTAGAATTTATAATTTGTTATTTTTGTTGCTTGAGGTTGCAGGGTCCTGTTGTGATGCTTTGTGACATAATCTGTGCCAATGAGGCATGTAGATAATAGGTAGATGTGGGGTGACTGGTCATATGTACAGACTCTAAAATATAAAGAAAATAAGCCTTTCATTTTAAAATATACATATACTGGCTTTGAAAATGGAGGAAGGTTCCAGGAATCAAGGAATGTGAGTGACCTATGGAAGATGGAAAAGGCAAAGAAACTGATTCTCTGCTGGAGTCTCCAGAAAGGAAAGCTAACAACCATGTTTTAGCCCAATGAGACAGATGTTCTGACCTCATAGAACTCTAAGATAATAGTGGTAAAGTAACTTGTTATAGCAACCATAAGAAGCTAATATCCTTGGAATGGGAAACAAGGTGGAGTTGTATAAAAGATGTCTTTTAAGCAAACTGAGTTAGGCTTCTTTCATACCAAGTCACTTTTAAGTATTATAAATTCCAGCTAATATCTTTAGGCTCCTAATTCCAATTTTAAAGAAGAGGTTATAAGGTCCTTGCTTAAACTCTCTCACCTTAAACTCTCTCTCTCCAGAGGACCTATAATTTCTCTCTACCCTCTCTGCCTCCTGTGAAATCTGCCAAAAAAACCAATCCCACCTCCAATCTCTGCCCACCTGCCTTCTCTTTACACCAGGCAAGAGGACATCTCTCTTGCTCTGATTGGCAGCTGGATTTCACCCATATGCCCCCAGTCAAGTAGTACAAATTTCTCTGGATACTTGTTGACGCCTTCTCAGGATGGATGGAGGATTTTCCTACAACCAATAAATGTGCCACTATGTTGGCCAACACCCTCGTTGAACACATTCTTCCCTGATTTGACCTCCCCTCCTCAATCCAGTCTGATAATGGTCCTGAATTTACTTCCCATGTTTCACAGTCTGTAGCTAAGGCACTCAACATCTCCTGGCATTTTCATATACCCTACCATCCTCATTCCTCTGGCAAGGTGAATGTACCAACCAGACCTTCAAGAACATTCTCACTAAACTATCCCTTGAATTACGCTCAGATTAGACTAAACTCCTTCCTTTGGCTCTTAGGTTATGAGCCCTCCCAAAGAAGCCACTCAATATCTCCCCTTTCGAGCTTCTATATGGATGGCCTATCTCCCTGCTCAGCTCGCCAACCTCTGATTCTGTACTACCCCTTGCTCATTATCTTTTCTGGCCCCTTCTGGCGTACATTAGGAACCTTCTTTGACAATACAGTAATGCTGTTTTGGCAAAGCCTAGTTCTACCTCTTTCCCTTCTCCCACTCTGTCTCCTGGCAACCTGGTACTTTTTAACACCCCCAAACAGGCTCCCTTTCTCCTCACAACTCTCCACAAAATTACCTTGACTCTATTAGGTCATTCTTATCATTCCCTCAGTGGCCCACCTTGAGGACCTCCCATATTGGGTTTATAATTCCCATTTGAAAGGGTGGTTTTCCCCACCCTTTTATACAGTGACGCCCATAGGCCTTCTCAGACTGTGTTTCTCCAAGGCCAGAACCCCCAATCTTCCTTCGGTCTCTGAGGACCACGAGGACACTGCAGAACCATGAATACCATCTTCTCTTTTTAATTTTTGCCCTCCTCCCTTACTGTGCACTCACCTCCCAGGGGTACCATTTTTAGGAATTATCATTCGAATTTCTAGGAGACTTATAGCAACTTGCCCAAACCATACTAACCATACAATCCCAGCTTGATTCTTTAGCTGCTGTGGTTCTGCAGAATTGAAGGGGCCTTGATCTTTTTATGGCCAGAAAAGGCGGACTTTGTATCTACAGAAGGAATGCTATTTTTATGTCAATCAATCTGGTATAGTAAAGGACAAGATAAAACAACTCCAACAGAACCTTAAACATGGGAAACAACAGCTCTCTCTACAGAAGGATGGCAGCTAAATAACCCCCTTCTCCAGTGAGCACTTCCTTTCCTGACTCCTGTTCTTGTCATAGACCTTCTGTTAATGCTTGCCCCCTGTGTCATTAGATTCATTCAAGACCAGATACAAAAAAATCTCTAAGCAAACCATAAACCAGCTTTTGTTACAGGAATACCAATCCCTCACCAAAAATCGGGGCATCAGGGACAGCATTCCACCACCACTCATCCTCATCTATCATTCCAATAACATTTCATGCCCCCAATGAGGGATTCAAACACTACTGCTTCCCGGTAGGAAGAAGTTATAGAAGATTGACCCAGGTCCCTATTCCCTAAAGGGCCCAATAAAAACAAAAAAGGGTGAATGTAAGGTCCTTGTTTAGCATCTGAAGAACTATGTTAAGTGACAGCTACCATTTTAAGGAAAAAGTTTCACTTTCCCGCCCAAGCGCCTTTCTGAGAAAAGCTTACCATTCCTTCATATGAACCCAGCCCTTAACTGCCCACATTAGGGCCCACCTGGCTCTGGTTCCTGAGCCTCCCCCATAAAAGTCCCAGAACTCAAGCTTGTTTTGCCTCTCTCCTATTGAGAGACGGCCTTTATTTGTCAGCTCTGACAAACTCTCTTGTGTATCTCTGCCTGGTCTCTGTCTTTCATTTCTCTCTCACCTATCTCTCATTCCCCACTTTCCCTTCAGAGGTCTGGATTAAATCAATGATTCTCAGACTTTAGCATGCATAATCATCACCTGGAGAGCTTATTAAAACAAATTATAGTACTTTTCCCTACTTCCAGATTTCTGATTAAGTGGGTCTGGAGCAGGACCAGAGAAACAGCATTTCTACCAAGTTTCTAAATGATCCAAATGTTGCTGATCACAGGCATACTGTGAGAATCACTAGGTTCAACAATCTCTAAATTCCTTTTCAATTCAATCATTCTGATTCTATGAATGTATAACTGAAATTATCGATTCCCATATTCAAGTATATATTAAAGATACTTTCTAAAATCATTGTTCTTCCATGTGAATATGATGAATTAAGAATTGATAGTGCCATGCATCCCATTAGAAATTTTCAATTTTAGGACATACCCTTGAAACTTGGTGTACTTAGTATTTTCACAAATACTCAATTAGCAGCCCTTCTGTATTTACACACACACACACACAGAGAGAGAGAGAGAGAGAGAGAGAGAGAGTGTGTACTGGGTATTGAACCCAGGTGTGTTCCTTTTTTATATTTCATTTTGAGACAGGTTCTCACTAAGTTGTTCAAGCTGGACTAGAACTTGGCAATCCTCCTTGTCGTGAGCCATCCATGGGCTGTGTGTATGATCTATGTGCATTTGAGTGTATGAGAGGACTGGTCTGGCATTGCATGCTGACTGGGCTGTGCAACGCAAATGTGCCTTTCCTCTTTATCTGCCTGTGATCCCACACAGCAACTCTGATGGCTGTGACTTGCCAAGATGTCAATCAATTGGCTGATCACAAGATATCACAAAGCAAGACTCCACCTTTGAAACGCTATTCCCTGCCTTATTTGGTGAAGAACATTCCCTTGAACCTCCCTTG